ACAAAGTTGCAAAAAAATGAACCAGGAAAGAGTTAGGAAAAGTTTAATTTGTAATTTGGCTTAAGCGCATGCAACAGTGACATTCAATTGACTGCAATCCCCTTTTAAAACACCTGTAATACACGAATAACTCACGACATGCTTTTTAGGCAATCTCAAGAGGAGAACGTTTTCAGAATCTTATTGATTCATACAGATAAATGGAACGAACAGAATGAAATGTTTCGCACTTTTAGAAAGGGGAGTCTTACAGCAGAATTTTTTCTTTTCCTTTCAAGATCAAAGTACCACAATAGTCCTCATGAAAAAGTAGATTATTGGGGAAAACAGTAAAGTACAGATACTTTGTCAAGTGTAGGTCCCTCAAACATCATCACCCTAAATACTACCGCCTAAAGGAGGCAAATTCTTGCACTAAATCGCGGATGAAATGGCATAAAAATGATAAAAAGGAGTGCACTTTTTTTTTTCTTCACATCTACATTACTTTGAAAAAACTCCCAAACAGCAAACCAGGGCTGGTAAGAGGGGAGATAATTTCAACTGGTAGAGCGTTTTCATCAAAATGAAGTATCTGCAAAGTGAAAGTTCCATACTCTACTTAATGACTTTACTTAAGATCAAATTAACCAACTTTCTTAAACCCAAAATTGGCTGACCTGAGTCCAAGGTTTCAATTTTTCTGCAGAAAGAGAAGGAACATCATCAACACAATATTCACAACTTGCGCCACGATCCAAGCTCCTTAATAGAAGGTAGTGACCACAGTCATCATGGTGACAGTGGTTCTGTCCGTGCCATATGCAAATGCCAGTACCCACGCGACTCTCATCTGGACAAGGCTCACACAAAGGGCATTTTACACACAATTCCCACGTAAATGACCGTAGCCAATGACAGGTGACGCTAAGTTTAGACCTGCAGTGTTCCAGATGACTGAAAAAGAACGAAACCAACAGAATCAACATAAACAACTCGAATGACGTAAGTATAGTACTTGGTATGGAGAATCTAAGTGAAGTTAGTCAACTTTACTGGAAAACCTAGAGGGGCTTCATATCTAAAATAAATTAGGAGTCTTTCTCTAACCGATAAATTCCGGCGTAATTATCCTTTGTATACTGTGTGTGATTGTCCAGTGATTTGCTCTAATGATTAAACGCACTACTATGGTTTGAAGATCGGCAACAGCGATAAAAGCTTAGAAACAAATAAATTAATAAATAAACAACTTCTACATCTTATAATCATTCAGCTTACATGTAGTCAAACAAACAACGCTTTAAGATCTCGCCAATTTACAAATTTAAAACCCAAAGTAAGCTTCCTTCGCTTTGAAATTAAGCTCATTTTCATTTTAGGAGTTTTGCGTTACACCACAAAAACACGGCAGTAAAAAAAGCTGTTTGGCACCTGAAAGGATGTCTATTCTTCTAATTATTCCTCATCGGAGGGTTTAGCATTTAAGGATCCCGATCGATTCAGAAGCAAAATTCTGCTTTATCTTCACTTGTGATATGAAATATGTTCTCTGATTTCTTAAAATACGGTGGTCTAGTTGATACTATACCCCTTCTAACTGAGTTACGAAAAAGAACTAAGGACAACTATAACTTGCCTCAATAATTTTTCACAAAGACTTTGCTCTTCCTTTCTGTCAGAGTCACACGTTGTCCAAANTTGATATGTGGCATCCTTTCACTCAAATCCAATAATTCCTTACGGAATGAAACGATTTGTGGGTCGTCCTCTCTGTTTGGATTTGAATTATCTATGAAGAACGATTCTTGTGAAATGTGTTTTCCAGTTGCGAGAGAAGCCTTGTCGCAAATGGTTTTGAACACGAAATCCATCTTTTCCCGAGGATTCGTTACATCGTTAGCATGTGTACCCACAAGAACAACAGGAGGTAATGAGGCTGGGGGTGCGTTACTGGGAAAAATATCCCTCCAGCTTTCTGACTTTTTTTGAACCTTTCCACTTGCGAAAGAATGCACCAGATCTAACCACTTCATCATGTGATCAAGATTTGTGTCCTCGTCATGAGGTGACTCAACCACTACCTCATCGTTATTATGCGTCCTCACCCGACATTGAGCAGGAGAGCATAATTCCTGGGTAAGATCTGACACTAGAACACATAAGTATTCTTGCGATAGGAAAATAGGATGCATGGCATAGTAAAGTGCCTGGCCAGCGAAATCCCAAACAATAGGCGAGATGTCCTCATTTTTGGAGGTAACCACTTCAGCAAACTTATGGTGAAATGCACTTGTGGTCTTTAAATCAGCAGGATTTTTCCATGCACCTGTTCCTGCGTTCTTGATAGATGGAATTATTTCAATTCCATCAGTGCTTGGTTCCTGTTCATTGAATGTTTCACCTACGAGGTATCTTCTAAGGCTTGTTTTACCAGTACGGTCCTGACCAATCAACACTATTTTGATACGTCTATCGTAGGTTTTGCCTTTCTCTAGTGCTCTCTTGTATGCTGCTAGCGCCACTGGTCCTCTTGCCAACACATATGGGGGGATTGAATCTGTAATAGTTCAATACGTCAATAAGTAAAATAAATGAATTTTCTACCTTTAATGCTATCCACATGGATCTTTTACATTGCATAACAAATCCAAAAGTAATCAGTGCTCAATGGGTACATTCAAACAGTCTTGTGTGTCAATTGTAAGAAGTCTGTTTTTAAAGGGATTTTGAGAGCTTATCTCCCGTCTATCATTCATAGGACTCTAACCCTTAGAAGACCAAGGGCTCGTTATTTCTTAACATCACTTTGATTGTCCTTACACAGAGTATCCGTTACAATATTTGCGGTTTCGAGACACTTGGGGCTCAGACTTGAAGGTCACGTGACCTAGATCAACATTTCGTGTTTCGAGAAGTTGAAATCGATTCGGTTTCTCGCCGTTTAGAAGTGTTGTTCGAGCTATTTCCCTCTACAGAAGCCCCCATGTCGGCATCATTAAGCTGGAATGTGGGTAGACGCAAGTCTGAAAAAAAAAAGAGGTGAGAGAGATGGTTTCATGTAGACTAGACCGCCAACGATGCTTTACTACCAGCTTCGCGAGTTCACAAGTGAAGTTGTCTCTCTGGCCCATCTGTGGATGGCTTCCAGGACCTACAAAGGCCATGCGGACAAGTCTTGCCAGGTAAAAATTTCAATCGATGCGATATTTTGCTGGTAGGACTGGATGGCCCGACACTTGTAACAATTCTTTGATATGGAAATGACGAGAGTTGCCTTTTCGAGTTATGGCGGAATTACCCAGGATTATTTTCGGGCATGAACAAGGCAACGGTTGTGTTCGCGACACTGGCTTTCATCAAATGGAGAAAGAAGGGCTGGCAGATAAAGTGAGAAGGAATTTTCTAGCCAAACTCCAAGATCTGGCCCTGAGGTGTGACTTGAACGCAAACTTTTGATTTTTTTCGCAAATTTTTATTTTAAAAGATTGACACGTTTTTGGTGTTGCTCATGGAGCAAAATGCTGGACCTTGGGATTTGTTGCCATACGAACGGTTGACTGCAATGAAAATCAGGAATCATTGTGGGCGTTTTAGGTTGCAATAGGTGTCACATCAACCAGCCGGCACAATCTACACACTTACATAATGTTGTCTCTTAAGTGCAACAAGAAACAAGTATCAAAAGTAGTAACAGTATCATCTAGACATATGTGTCCACTTCGTGTGCAAAGGGTTAAAAATCCATTTCCAGCCTTGACGCGACACGCCGTGACCTATTTCCTGTAACATGAGATTCAAAACCTCTAGAATCGTCTTTCTCATGAGCCATCTTGGAAATATAGTCAATTGTTTTACGGTAAATACATTCGCCTCTTTTCATTTTAGAGTCTTCTTGCAGTATTTTGCGTTTAGTTCAAATCTAATTGGAAATTGTGCTGTTCGAAGTGGATAGTTTCGAACAATATGTTAAATCAGGCCAACTCTTGCGGGATCTGTTCGCTAGATGAAAGCGCCCCCAATACACCTTTCACGGACAAAACAAAGAACCACATCCGTCTCATATAAAACTGGATGCCACCAGTTCAGCCTTCTACTGACCTTGAGAGCTACTTGGAGAGATNTACTAACACCTTGAATAGAGAAGGTTCACAAAAATTCAATACTAACAATTTCTGACAAACTTAAACAACTACTGTATTTTTTTAACTGTCCATATTAGTGTATGAGTTGCACATTTTTATTGAAAGATGTTTAATTCACAACAGGGGTGCAACTTATGTATAAGAACATCTCACTGGAAATTGTGTCCCAATTTGACGTATAAATTAATGTATGGATGCACCTGTATTTAAATTCAGAAGGGGAAGAACAGAGTAAGAGGAATTAGTCACAAAAGGATGCTTGAGAACCAAAGTTTTTTAGCTTTAGTATTTTTAAAATACACCATTATCAATTTTAGTGATTCATCTTTCATTTTATCCTCTTTACCATTCTTTCTTTTATTTGTTGCTGGTTTTTCGGTGAGAACTTTCTTGCATGAAGCTTAGAAGAAGAAAAAGAAAATAACAAAAAGCTTCAGTACAACATTCCATACATTGGACTCCTTCTATCACCTTTGTAACAAAATTGCAGTTTCAGTTTTTTTTTAAAATGACTCTCCATGCATGTGATAATTGTTGTTAATATTGAAACCTTTGGGGAACCCCTTAGGTACTGTTCCGACGTATTCTGATGTAATCGCGTGCACGCATGCGCCATTCAGTTAATTATCACGAGGTTTTTCGACATGGCTTTTCCTCCATGTTTGTTGTGAACTTTTACCGTCGGTTTATCCTTAAATAAAGGATCAAATGTTTTTCAAATTGCAATCTGCCTGAACAGGTACCTCTGAGTGACTTGCATGGGCACCCCGAAAACAGGAAGCCATGTACATTGTGTTGTTGACTTTTCGAGTCGATGGGCATGTTAAAAAGCTTGCTACTAGTTGTTGAGTTTATGCTTGATTGAATGATACTATAACAGGGTGTCAGGAGTGAGATCCTGCTTTGCCGCAATGTGAGACAAGTTGATGGGACAAGCAAGTTTCCTGTGAGTTGTATTTCTGTATCTAGGGCCACTAGTTACTCAGTTGAAGCACGAGGAAAACGAGGGTAACACGGTAAAACGAGGTAAATATACTCTTCAATTTGTATTGACCCAAGGGACCTAAACAAAGTTCTTAAGAGGCCACACTATCCAATGGTTACTATAGAGGAGGTTGCCAACCGGTTATCAGGTGCAAAGAGTTTCATGTCCCTGGATGCTTGCAGTGGAAACTGGCAGCTCCCGCTGGACAATGAGAGCTCAAAGCTCTTAACATTCAATACATCCTGGGGTCGATATCACCAATACAAGGCTCCCTTTTGGCATCTCTTCTGCCCCTGAAATCTACCAAAGGGAGATGGACAAACTCTTTGAAGGAGTTCCTGTGGGGATTATAGTGGATGATTTCCTGATAAATGGTAAGGATCAAATCGACACTGATCAGAAATTGAGAAGAGCACTGGCTAGAAGCAGAGAAGTTGGATTGAAGTTCAATCCAATAAAAGTGAAACTTCGTGTTCCTGAAGTAAGTTATGTGGGACATGCGTTCTCGGCCGAAGGATGGATTCCTGACCCTGATAAGATCCACGCAATCAGTGAGATGCCTCCTCCTTCTGACAAAGAAGGTGTACGTTGAATACTAGGAACTGTCAATACTTAGTTAAGTTCATTGAACACAAAGCTGATCTACAAGAGCCAATTTCATAGCTTACCCAGAAAGAGGTGGCACTTGTGTGGGAGAAGCCACAACAAGAGGCATTTGATAAGCTCAAGTCTGTCATCACTAGTGCACCAGTGTTAGCAGACTTTAATAACAGCAAAGAGACAGTGCTAAGTGTTGATGCCAGTAACACAGGCCTTGGTGCAGTAATCATGCCGGAGGGCAAACCAGTTGCCTTCAGCTCGAAGACATTGACTCCCTCAGAGCAGGTGTATGCAAATATTGAAAGAGAGTACGAGGAGTACAAAATTTCACAGATGTGTATGGGCGCAGAGTTGTTGTTGAGACAGACCACAAAACATTGGAGTCAATCTTTTGGAAACCAGTGAATGAGGCCCCTCCAAGGCTACAGAGGATGTTGCTGAAACTCTCCAAGTATGACCTTGTGGTGCATTACGTTCCTGGAAAACAGCAGGTCATTTCAGACTGCCCTTGCAGAGCACCTCTCAATGAAACTAAACCATTCCGCAAACACGAAGACGTCATAGGAGTTAATCTTGTTGAGGAACTTGGATTAGAAAGCAGTATTCTGAAGAGATTCAAGGACAGCTCACGTGCTGATGAGACATCTAAAGTACCGTAAACGTCCATGTATAAGCCGCACCCCCGATTTGGAAGCGCAGAATTTGGAAGAAAACAAAAACAATACAGTTTGAAGTTTCAGTAGAGTTGTATTACTAACAAACAATCAAGGTTTCGAAACACCGACACAGAAGTTGTGGCTATCTTTCACATTTAGTAAGTCTAAAGAAAGTGAAATTTCATTTGTCGTACCTTCTTTTTCATTGGAATTTACACCATTTACACCATAAAATGCTCTTTTGATCCGATTTTTTGAGATTATCACTTCTGATTTGGGGACTGGGTCGAGTAAACAATAAAGCATTGTTGTTTGCATCATCGCAGTTCCAACATGGAGAAATTTACTTTCGACTCAGCTGTTCGGGGATACCACGTGTATAAAGATGTTTGGAAACCCGCAATAGGCAAAAAACTTCATGCAGAACAGGAGCCTGATAATGCAGTCGACAAATTTGCCATGAAGGTAGTAAAAAACAATGAAACAGTCGGCCATTTACCTCGCAAATTTTGTGGTACTTTATCACACATGGGAGACCGATATGCATGGAAGTGACAGGCCACAGACGTCACTGCAGACAGCTGTGCGGAGGAATGCAGATTCCTTGTATGTTGGTGTTTAGTTGTTCGAGTAAAGCAAAAATTAATTGCTTTAAAGAACTCTTGGAGAGCAAGATTTGCCGATAAACACTCTTTTAGGAGTTTGAAAAAGTCAATGAACTACAGCAACATGCTCTCAGTTTTTTTTATGTTTATTTCTTGGCATCTTAAGAAGTTTTCTGAATATTAATGAGGTTTTTGAGAACTCCAAACACAGATGTATCCATGGATATGCCACACAATCAATTTTTGGCTTCACTTTTGTAAAAAAAAGTGCGGCTGATACATGGACGTTTACAGTGGTTATGGAGTACAATTTGAGAGGATGGCCCTCTGAGAAAGAACAAGTTGATGAACTTGCCCAGGAATACTGGAGTTTCAGAGAAGAGCTGAGTGTTGAAGATGGCATGTTATTTAAATCAGACAGAATTGTAGTGCCAAGACCAATGAGAGCTGAAGTGTTCGATGAAATTCATGGAGCCCACATGGGAGAGAACAAGAACCTTTCCTTTGCGAGGGATTACGTTTTCTGGCCTTCCATGACTACACAAATCAAAGACAAAGTCAGTTCCTGTGCTGTGTGTAATGCGTTCTGCAACCGACAACAGAAAGAGTCATTACATCCTCATGACATTCCAGGATTACCTTGGCAAGTAGTTGGGACTGACCTGTTTGAATATGGTGGCCAAATGTACCTGTTAGTTACTGACTTCTATTCGAAGTACTTTGAAATAGAACTACTTCACCAGAACACTGCTATTTGTGTTATCAACATCTTGAAGAAAATATTTGCCAGGTTTGGAATCCCTGAGAAAGTTGTCAGTGACAAGCGACGGCAGAACAGCAACACCAGACATTTGATAAGCACAAACCATGAGTTCAAGAGATTCCCTGAAGAGTGGGGATTTTCCCTTACAACCAGCTCACCAGAGTATCCCCAATACAATGGTGCAGCCGAAAGAGCTGTACAGACTGCAAAACGCATTCTTAAGAAGGCTGCAGCAGAGAACAAAGACCCATTTGAGGGACTGTTAAAGTATCGTAACACCCCATTCAAAGAAATTGGTGTGTCACCTGCACAGCTGCTGATGAGTCGGCACACTCGAACAATGATACCAACTCATCTAGGTCTCTTGTTACCTCAGCCAGTGGATCATGATCATGTTCTGAAAACGCTTCATCATCGACAGCATAATGCCAAGTCTAATTACGACAAGCAGAGTAGAGATTTGCCTCCGCTTAACGTTGGGGACAGTGTGGGGTTTTGTCCAAATGGTGAGAAGGAATGGTGCAAAGCAGAAATTATGCCAAGATCATACATGCTGGAAGATGAATATGGACGTACTTACAGGAGAAACAGAGGGCAGATCATGCGTGTTCCAAATGATTCTCCCATGACACTGAGGACAAGGGCTCTTCCCAAGAGTACACAAACTCATGACTCTCTTCCAAGTACAAGACCGGAGCCTGTACTTGAGAAGCCAGTGTCAAGTCCAGTCCCATCAGAGAGACAGACAGAAACAATTGGACCCCCTCCCATTACAACCAAATCTGGGTGTCAAGTTAGGAGGCCGCAGAGACTCATTGAATCATGTTAGGGGGGAGTTGTAATAATGAAACCTTTGAAGATCCCCTTAGGTACCTCTAAGTGACTTGCACTGGCACCCCGAAAATGGGAAGCCATGAGCGTTGTGTTGTTGAACTTTTGAGTCGGCGGGTGTTCTGTCTTAGAACTGCAAATGTTGCTTCTTCATGAACACACATACCATGTATAAAGGAAAATATCTCAGATAAAGATCTTTTACCATCATTGAATGAAGTTTAATATTATCTTAAACTATCCTAATGTTTAAAACCAAGACAGTCAAACAGTCTGAATAAAGCATTTAAAACTACTATCTTTACCTTTATTCTTCTTATTATTTCTTTTATTGGTAGCTTCAGGCCTTTGCTTTTTTGCGATGGTTGTACTGGACCCTTAAATAGATAAGGGTTCACAAAAATTAGTACTCAAAATGTCTGACAATCTAAAGCAATTAAACACAGGCATATATATATCTGCCAGGCTCTACGTCAGTGCACAGGGAAATGAAGCCTGCCCTCTGTTCCCTTTTTTGTCTCAACTGATGAACACCCTGGAACAAGCCATAAAGGAATGAATCAAAAATTTAAACCTTTTCGGTTCTTCTCCTCTTTGTTCATCTTAATGGGAGTTCCAGCTTTCCGTCTTTCAGTGGCGGTTTTCTTGGAAACTTGAATAGACAATGTTCAAATTGATTCAGAGCTTAGAATGCCTCACATACTAAAAAATTAAAAACTTTTACAATACATAAAACTTATCAAGCTCATTTTATTTGAGAATAATCCATTTCACAGTTGATAATAAAAGCTTGAGTTTGTCACAAAATAGACGAGAAACCCAGCAAGGTTTGTAAAGTAATTATCAAGAACGTCACGCTTGACCCCATTCTTGTTGTTTCTCAACTTATTGTGCAACTGTGAAATGGACCATTCAAAGAACTTTACAATATTGAAAGTCAATTCTGAAACAAAATCTGGAAACTAGCACAACGCATTAATTGGCCACAAATGCTTAGAAATGTTCAGTTGGTCAGCCCAGGTACCACATGAAACAACAGGGTAACTTGTGTCACTGTTTTTTGAAAGCATTTTATCATCCTAAATTTTCAGTGGACATGCCAGTCGATCCCACTCATTACCAATAGCTTTGCCAAGTGTTTGTAGTTCATTGGCACTCAGTATTCCCTCTTAAATACAAACACAAATTAAGAGTTAATTCTCTACATGCTTACGATTACTTGCTTACTTGTTACTTATGCACCAATCAATTAAAAACTTCAACATCCCCCCCCCCCTGCAAACCACAGGCATTCATCCATTACCTGTGCCTAGGGGGTGAAAAATATGAACCTTGCCTGGTTGGGTTGGGGTACTTGAACTGAAGCATGAAGTCTTTCAAGTGGAATACAAGTGATATATCTTTAAAATTGGAGAAGTTTAAAGGTAAATAGTTCACTTTTTGCCAAGGGGATTGCCCGTGAGATTTTCCAGGGGAGGGGCAGTGGATGTTAAAGTATGACTCTATGAAAATTTTAAAATCATTTATTAAAAATGAATTTTTTTTTTTGGGGGGGGGGGGAGGGGCAAGGGCTTTTTTATCTGCCTTGCCAGAGGAGGCAGGGTGGCCAAGTGGTTAAGATGCTTGGCTTGTAATCTGGTGGTCCTAGGTTCAAGCCCTCCACCTTGCTTTTCACTGAATTGTCCTTAAATGGTTCCCAGACTTCTACTCATTCCTTGTGCTCTGTATATAACCAACTGCATTCTACTCATACCCACTATGGTTTTAATGCATGGCATTTATTTACACTGTTTGGGACCAGATTGTTTGCATTGCCCCTAAGCAGAGCCCCATTAGGGGAAACTGGTCATATAAATGCACACAAATTCCTCCTATTGCTAGGTGTAATAAATTTAATTTAACTTTTAATTTAACCCATCGTAACTCAATAACATGTCATCACAAACAAACTTTCTTTGAGAGAGAGATTGAAGGTTCTCTAATTCTGCAAAAAAAGTTGATCTGAACAATCCACATCATGCCATTGAACAGTAAGATGCAGTGCATGTAGTAATTACAAGTTTTTTTTGAAAATTAATGGACCTAAAATGTAATTGTTCTAACATCCTTACCCTTCATAATCTTCTTTTTCTTACTAGTGCTGGATACCCCTGAGGTTCCAGGTTCTATGATGGGATAGGGTCTTTGTATTTCGGCTGCTGAGCCACTTTCCTCTACTTGCTCAACTTCAGTGGAATGAGGAGCTAGTATGTAAAAGAGAGAAAAAATTTGGGGTGAAAAAAAAAGCAAATTTAACCCTAATCCTTTAGATATCATGCTACTGGATGATAACACATAGTGTATGTAGCAATCACAAGCTTTATGAAAATCAATTTACTTCAAATGCATTTGTCCTTCTGTCCTAACCCTTCTTGAGCTTCTTGGTTGCACTACTGTTGTACATTGAATTTTGCTCGTTGTATCAGATGTAACAGTGTTCTCAATAGAATTTTGTACAGCTGTTATTGTGCTTCTTTGACACATGGCACTAAAATATATTGCCAAAGGCTATGTATCTTGCTCAGTTGGGCCAAGCTCCTCAGGGCCTTACAGGTTACAGGTTCAATTGAGAACCCTGTAGTTTAGTTTAATCAAACTAAGAGTTCATTAATTTTTTTAAGGGGTGGCTGGATGTACCTTACTGTGAGTCATGAGTAACTGTTCATCGCAAATAAACTTAGGTGGGTAAGAGAACGAAAGCTCTTTGATTCTGAAAATTTTTACATGATATCATGCCATTGGATAACAACATACAGTGCACGTAGTAATAACAGGTTTATTCGAAAATCAATTAACTTAAAATGTAATTGTCCTCATGTGCTTGTGCCACTTTTCTTCTTGCTAAACCTCAGTGCAATGAGGAGCTGGGATGTCAGTGAGAGGCAAAATAAAGTTTGGGTAAAAAAATTCAATATTTCATTTGTGTGCTTGTATTTCCTCCTGCTAACTGGTTTGACTAAAGAACTGAAGTTTAAAAAGACAGCCTCCAGAACAAGTATAATTTTTTGCATTTTACAGGCAAATGGAGACATGCTTGGCAAGGGAAATTAATCACATACAGGGAAGGGATGCAAATAATAGCTCCTTCCCCTTCTGCTCCCCTTGACTCCTCCCCTTCAATTCACTGTTTATGTTCATATTCTCAATTATCTGGACCCTCAACTATCCAGACAATTTTGTTTAGTCCCAACAGTCCGGTTAATCAATTTTTGATTGTGCAACCATTTCTTTGCATTTTCATGAGCAAGTTGAGCTACAGGGTGGAAAAAAACACTGTTATTCACAACTTACAAAACTTCACAGCCAAGTCTTTCCGTGAAATAGATCTGTGGCTTAGAGCAGCATACAAAGTCTGGTAAGTTGCTTTAGACCCATTTTTGATTTTCCACTCCTTCAGCATCTGATATGCTTTCCAAGAAAGATGCCTTTCATTCAAGTCAATCTTCTGAAGCTCTTGATGCGAAAAGCTCAGTCTATATCCTAGTTGTTTCCATTCGCTCCCAATATCTGCACTCAAAACTTCTAGCTCATCATGTGATGGTAAACCTTGTTTGACTGCCAAGGCAAAATTAGAGTCATTGGTCCATAGTTAACTTGTCACAAGTGAGCACAAATAATGTTAGAAGTGGATTCAAAGCTTTGCAAAGGATTCAGGCATGCCTCTCTACCTATGTGAACCAGTTAATATGAAAAGTCATGATTCACTCCCTTCAAAATATCATTCAGTTGAATGGTTGGTTACTGCTATGCTGTGTAAAAAAGGGCTTAAAAACAGGATGAATGTCTGGAGCCATCTGCTTTCCCCAGCCTCCCCCCCTCCTCCTTAGTTCCTCCACTAGATATTACTGAATAGAAAAGTGTGTCATAGAGTATGTACATGCACTTTGGCTAATTATCCATGAGTTTCACAGTTTTGAAAAGTGAAGTAAGGGCGAGTTCGTTATGCTTTCAAAGAGGAAAAGCAGTGCTAATAATCATTTTAAAAATAGAGAACATTCAAATAAAATCTGAATGTCTTCGAGTTACTTTTTTGCTAAGTGAGATGGGTCTGTTACATGCAGACCATATTCTTTTCAAAATAATAATTATGCAAATGTTTTGATTCATGATTAAATGTTTTTTTTACTTTAATCAGTTTTTGTTCCTTAATAATATTCATAAATTTCTCAATTATCCAGACTATTTTGTCTAGTCCCAACAGTCTGGATGATCAATCTTCAACTGTACACCCACTTCTTTGTGTTTTCATGAGCAAGTTGAGCTACAGGGTGGAAAGAAACACTGTTATTCACAACTTACAATACTTCTCAGCCAAGTCTTCACGTGAAATAAACCTGTGGCTTAAAGCAGCATACAAAGTCTTGTAAGTTGCATCAGACCCATTCCTTTCTTTCCACTCCTTCAGCATCTGATATGCTTTCTGTGAAAGGAGCCTTTTATCCGTGTCAATCCTATCAAGCTCTTCTCCCGAAAAGCCCAGTCTACGTCCTAGTTGTTCCCATTTGCTCCCAATATTTTCACTCAAATCATCCAGCTCATCATATGATGGTAAACCTTGTTTGACTGCAAAGGCAAATTTAAAATCACTAGTCTATAGTTAAGTAGCCATAAGCTACCACCAATACTGTTAGCAGTGGATTCAAAGTTCTGCAAGGATTCAGGCATGCCTCACGACCTTTGTCAGCCATTTAATTTGAAAAGTCATAGTTCACTCCCTTCAAAATGTCATTCAATAGAATGGTTAGTTATTGCATATTGTGTTAAGATGGCTTAAAAACAGGATGAATCTCTGGAGCCCTCTGCTTTCCCCAACTCCCCTCCATTCCTTACATCCTCCCCTAAATATTACAGAGTAGAAAAGTGTGTCATATAGTATGTACATACACTTAAACTAATTATCCATGAGTTTTACAGCATTGAAAAGTAAAGTAAATGCAAGTTTGCTTCGCCTTCAAAATGCAAAAGCAGGGCTAGCTAATTGTCTTAACTAATGAAGAACATTCCAATGAGATCTGATTGTCTTAGAGTTGCATTGTTGCTAAGTGAGATTGTTTTGTTACCTACACACCATTTTTTTCAAAACGATTTGCAAATGTTTTGATTCACGATTTAACGTTGCTCTTTTAATAAAATCAGTTTTTGTTTCGTAATAATATTCATAGCGGGGCTCCCACGAGTGTGAAGCGTGCATGGGGCAGGATCCCATACCCATGGAATATGGTCAACCTCTTTTCATTTGGTTGTCATGTGACTGACCAAGCGTACATGCCCTGAGATTGCACAGGTAGGGTAGGGGCGACTATCAAAATGAAGGGAGCGGTGTCTCAGGCAAGTCTTGGCAAATACACATCTTTTATGTTATCATTAATATTACGAACTTGGGAGCTCCACTTTTAGGCTTGGCTAAATCTATGTATCATCCTCAGTTATCTACACCCTCAATTATCAAGACTATTTCACCTAGTCCCAATAGTGGGGATAATAAAGGTTTGACTGTCCACCATTTATTTGCACTTTCATGTACCAGTTGAGCTACAGGGTGAAAAGAAACACTGTTATTCACAACTTACAATACTTCTCAGCCAAGTCTTTACGCGAAACATCTCTGTGGCTTAGAGCAGCATACAAAGTCTGGTAGGTTGCATTAATCCCGTTCCTATTTTTCCACTCCTTCAGCATCTGCAATGCTTTCTGAAAAAGAAGCCTTTCATCCAAGTGAATCTCCTGAAGCACTTCTCTCGAAAAGCCCAGTCTACATCCTAGTTGTTCCCATTTGCTCCCAATATTTGCACTCAAATCTTCCAGCTCATCATGTGATAGTACACCTTGTTTGATTTCAAAGGCAAATTTTAATTCACTAGTCTATAGTTAACTAGTCATAAGCTACCACAAATACTGTTAGGAGTGGATTCAAAGCTCTTTAAAGGATTCAGGCATGCCTCACCACCAAGGTTAGCCATTTAATTTGCAAAGTCATAGTTCACTCCCTTCAATGAATGGATGGTTACTGCTTTGTTGTTTTAATGGGGAAGTGAAGCCTAAAATTGATGTTTTTTTGCATTCATTTCTAGTTAGGTTTAGAGGAGTAAGATAAAGTGTCGATTTTCATTTTCCTTCACTTCATGTTTTTTCTGAGAAAATTCGATTGGAAGTTACCTTTTCCCGCTTTTGTGGCTGTAAGACTGTCGGCTCAAAATGATTACCAGCAGTCATTCATTACGTAAGTGGTGGGGAACCAACTTGAGAAGGCCTCATAACAAAGAACAAAGCTAAAAGAGAATTTTGCCCTTCATTCCGCAAATAAGAGTGGTGTGCAGCCGTCTCAGTTCAAGCCGACAGATGACTCTGGTGAAGAACCAGTTGGCCCATATGAAGAAATGGAGGCAGAAGCTCCAATCAATTATTCTTAGAGGATTGGAAACACAGAATGGTGTTAGTCTTTGCGCTGGTCATTGCATAGCTATGTGCACGACTGTTTTTGTTGTCAAGAACTTGAGTTGAATCAGAAGTTTGATGAATCAGGTATGTTTCCGATTGAATATTTATTTTTTCGTATTGAAGCGCAAGCAGTGTTTACTGTATGTCCTAAGTTACTCAGTGTAGCTTCTCTTGTTTACTTCATTAACAAGTTCAGTGTAACTTGTAAGTCAGACTTTTCCGCCCATAGTTTACCACATTTTGTATTTATTGTGTCAACAGGAGTTCCTTGTATAACTGAGCACTCCAAATTGTTTGCCTAAATACTGATGTGTTGCATACAGCACTTATTGGTATTCACAATGCATGCTGTAATCCTATCTCAGACCCCACTGAGAACAGGTTAGTTTCAATTATTTACCTTTACAAGTCTCTCATCCCTATTTTATTTACCAATGCTTTGTAGTAACTACTTGTACCTTTGTTTTACCATCAATGTTTTCATATCTTTCCATTTTATTCATGTGTGTTTTCCTTTCTTTTATAGAGCATGGCACCTGGTATGGGTCCACGGTGTCTTGGGGCAGAAAAATAGGAGAGTGATTCCAGTGTGCATTGTGAAAGCCATATGCAACACATTTCCAGATGCAAGTGGCCAATAATCAGGCTTTATGCTTGCAGAGCTAAATTTAAATTGAGGTAAACAATACTGGATTTAAAACAATAATTAAATTGTGAGATTGAAATGGTTTCTCAATCCTAATAAGTTCTTGACAACAAAAACATTCACCAGCCCTCTCTTAAATAAACCATTTTGTGTTTCCAATTCTCAAAGATATTTTTCTGCTTTTTTCAGTGACACTTTCAAATTCAATATATATGTGCAAAAAAAAAAATGATAACTTTAAGTAACAGATCTGAATTTTGATGTATTTTGGTAGCTGCAAACAACATTGCTCTTAAAATTTGTCACTGCTACGTTTGGTGCTGCGAGATGTAAATACATGTACATATTAGTCGGTACTTGCAATGAAACAATTAATTACTGGAAAGAGCTTTACAATGTAATAAGACTTTCATACAATAAAAGGTATTTCCACATCCATTACGAAATAAAAAAGGTAGCTATTTCTGGTTCTTTGGCTCTGTTGGGGTGAACAATTTAGTTTGTGGATGAGATCTTGTCATTCAATTCCTTTTGCGAGGGAAGCCACAGGTAATGTTGAAGAAAGCCCAGCGACACTCTATCATCATCTGACATGAAGAAGTTCACCCAGTGTGTGCAAAATAAAGTATAAAAACATACTACAAAAACACATTTCTCTACTCAAAAAAAGGGACTCACTAAACTAAGCACAGGATTGTGTACAAACCGTGCTAAGTTTCGAAATCAATTTCTCACTCGCAGACTTCTGAGCTGACGAGGATTGCAAATATTTTCCATATACGAAAGTATTACGTATCCAGAACGTGAAAACTGGGTGAAAGGATTGCAAGTAACTTCCATATATGAAAGTATTGTGCATCTAGAACGTGATAACTGGGGGAAAGAAACAAAACACGGATGACAGCATAATTCTGTTTACGCATGTTGAAAGATCGACTAAATAAACAATACAGAGGTAATCACCGATCGATTCATGACATTTCCAGTGCGTCCAAAACGTGCCTGATGAGAATATTTTTTTCTGGTATTCTGCAATCTAGGCGACAACCATACCAAAGTTCGGTAGGAAGAGTGCGGGGCTATTATCTTTCTTCCCCATCAGTGATGTAAGAGTGAACTAAAACAACTGCTGACATTGCTTTTCTGAGCCGCTGTATTACGAGGCCAGGTATTCTGCAATCCAGCCGACAACCATACCAAAGTTCTGTAGGAAGAGCATGGGGCTATTATCTTTCTTCCCCACCTGTGATGTAAGAGCGAACTAAAACAACTGCTGATATTGCTTTTCTGAGCCACCATATTATGAGGCCAAAATACAACTTAAAACTATTTTTTCAAGGGAAAGTTGGGACAAAGTCTGAGAAAAATGTTCGAACAAAGATATTTGAACTAAAAGCTGCAATTTAAAAATGATTCAATTTTAGGCTTCAGTTCCCCTTTAAGATGGCTTAAAAACAGGTGAATATCAGCTTTCCCTCAGCTTTTCCCACCCCTCCCCCCCCCACTCCTTATGTCCTCCTCAAGATATTGCTGAATTGAAGTGTGTCAGAGTACATACATGCACTTTAGCTAATTATCCACAAGTTCTACTGCATTGAAAAGTGAAGTAAAGGCAAGTTTTTTTTGCTTTCAAAATACAAAAGCAGCACTTACAATCATCTACACCGATGAAGAACATTTCAGTTAGGTCTAACTGTCTTAGAGTTGCTTTGAATTCTTACTGAGATGGTCCTTTTACCTGCAGACCATTTTTATTTTTAAAAATGATTTGCAAATGATTTGATTCATGATCAAATGTTCTTTTTTTTACTTTGATCAGTTTTTGTTCCTTAATAATATTCATATTCTCAATTATCCAGACTATTTTGTCTAGTTCCAACAGTCTGGATAATCAATCTTCAACTGTACACCCATTTCTTTGTGTTTTCATGAGCAAGTTGAGCTACAGGGTGGAAAGAAACACTGTTTATATTCATAACTTACAATACTTCTCAGCCAAGTCTTCACGCCAAATAAGTCTGTGGCTTAGAGCAGCGTACAAAATCTTGTAAGTTGCTTCAGACCCATTCCTTTCTTTCCACTCCTTCAGCATCTGATATGCTTTCTGTGAAAGGAGCCTTTTATCCCTGTCAATCCCATCAAGCTCTTCTCCCGAAAAGCCCAGTCTACGTCCTAGTTGTTCCCATTTGCTCCCGATATTTGTACTCAAATCTTCCAGGTCATGATGTGATGGTAAACCTTGTTTGACTGCAATGGCAAAATTAGAGTCACTGGTCTATAGTTAACTCATCATAAGCAACTACAAATAATGTTAGAAGTGGATTAAAAACTCTGCAAAGGATTCAGGTATGCCTCACTACCTATGTGAACCATTTAATTTAAAAAGACATGGTTCACTCCCTTCAAAATGTCATTCAGCTGAATGGTTGGTTATTGCTATGTTGTGTTAAGATGGCCTAAAAACAGGATGAATGTCTGGAGCCCACACCTTCCCCACCCCCCTCGTACTCGTTAGGTCCTCCTCTAGATATGAAACAAATTATTTTTGCAGGTTCGGGAACCCAGCTACGGTATAACTGAACATGAGCCATTTTGACCTAACAGCCACAGTTGGCATACAACAAGTTAGACATGATAGACTTAAAGATCATTCTACCCATGTGTAAACCCCGACAAAATTAATACAGAGCATTAATTTTCGTTTCCAAAATTAATGTAAACAAAAGGCAGATATTAATTGTTGAGAATTATCTCACTGGAAGTCTTCATTTTGGCAGTTCTGTTGCTGTCCTTGTGGCTATTTTATGCCAGCTAAATTTTCTTTGATATTTCACTTTCTAGCAGCTTGTGAAGGCTTACACCTTTTCCTTTTGAACTGAAGTATGTGTTTTGACATTCAACCACAAGAAAGTCCACCATCCTTCAACTATTACAAATTGTCCTCATAAAGGTTAAACATGTCAACAAGGACAAAGCATTGAACAAAGTTTGACTTTTGGTATGTCACAGCTGACATCATATCCATGATGGCACTTTTCTTACCACGAAAGTTATAAATAAAGGCAACTTTAAAGCGCTATTGTAGCTTATGCAAGGAAAACTGGACAAAAGGGCAGTTATTTTCAAACCCCTAATGAAAAAGTCTGTTAATTGAGATAAACTGTTTCCAGACCTTACTTTCCCTATAAAATGAAAACACATTACATGAACACGAGGTTTCATTGAAAGTGAGAGAACACTTAAAGGATAACTATTAATTTATACTAAGGAATTATTTTTTCAAGTAAAAGTTTTGAATAATGTACATTTATTGCTCTAGTTGGTGGAGAGACTTGGAAAAAGGCGATTAAAATAAAAATATGAGGGAAGAAGAGAGTAGGGATGTAACCAGAAACATTTCCATATTTTAGATTTCCAGGTGGTGGGCATCTCTGAAGTATATTAATCAGATTTGAGTCTGTCAGAAATCAACTTTTTCCCCTGCAGCCTAATAGAACTTCAAGAACCATGACAAGGTTCTCAATTGAACCAATAACCACCATCAAAGTGCGGTAGTGTCGAAAACAAAGCACCCGAAAATGAAGATTGAAGACCGAAGCACCCAAAACTCCAAAACAAAGCACCCAAATCTCGAAAATGAAGCACCCAAAACTCAAAAACAAAGCACCCACAACTCGAAAACGAAGCACCCCCAAAACTAGTACCATTTCTGTTTCTTCTGATTATACATCATCTAAAAAGCATCTGCTTTCACACTGGCAAGTCACATATTGATGCAATTAATTACTTGTGAGTGACAACTTTATCCCCATGGGTCCTAAAGAGCTACTTTGATTTGTTTCTGGCACATTTCTAGTGCCAATCAAGTATGAAAGGGCCTTCGCCTGGCACCATAGTAAATCAGACGAAGGACTTTTTTTGATAGTCTAGATATGCAGCTAAACGTCAACAATTAAGGGACTTTACGTCGTAAAATGTGTCATTAAATGTGTCATTAACGAACATTGCAATCACTGACACTGGAAATCGTGAGGTGGTAGGTGAGTAGAGTGATATATATATATTGTAAGAAATATACAACTTTTTCTACTAGGATAAAGGAGCACACGGAATGCGACAAAAACTCGCATATTTTTAAACATTTCAACACACCTTGTAAGAGCAAATACTCCCCTTCTTGCTTTAGTATTCTGGATTTTGCTAATAACTCAATTGATTTAAAACTCAAAGAAGCTTTTTATATAAATAAGATCAAACCTGAACTTGAAAAAACAATTACAGCATTATAGCACTTTTCTAGCATTTTAGTTCACACCTTTGATGTTTGGCGTCACGTTGTAATTAGTACCCGCTTTTGTATTACATCATACTGTACATATTTTATTCATCTACTTGTATGCTATATAATTATTCACATTCAGGCACTCATTGACTGAAGATGGCCTAAGCATGCTGAAACATGTCTCTTTAAAAAGTTGTCTATTTCTTACAATATTTATCATACTTGCTGTTACTGCGACCTTATGGAAATATATAATTATAAACGTAAAAAACCTTATCCTCGAATCGGAGAGTGCTCTACAATCATGGAGCTTTGTAATCAATTGTATAGGAAAATAGAAGTTAAAACTTCGCACTACAGAACTGTTTCGAAAGGGTCTGGTAGTCATCTCTCGTCAGGTGCATAAAATACTGGTTGACTAAGGATCCTTTTATATAAATAAGATCAAACCATGTATCAGCAAGCGTTAGTAACAAGTGGCTATAATCACCAATTAAAATTTGACACAACAACCAAAGACCAGAGGAGTACAGAAGGGAGAAGAAGACACTGAAATATAACTTGATATAACCCACCTTTTACTAAGAACGTTGCTACTAATGCGGGAGGGAAATTTTTAGGCATCGTAAAAGAATCCTTTATACCTGGGTACCCGCTAAGAAAAAGTTTTAATGGGAACACTTTGAAAGTGAGCTATTCATGCATGCCAAATTTGGAAAGAAAAATCAACGCCCACAACAAGTCCTCCCTTGCAAATAATTCTCAATCACAAGAAAAATCATGCAATTGTAGAGACAAGCACTCTTGTCTGCTAGGTGGCAATTGCCTAATTCAAAATGTGGTCTACCAGGCCACAGTTGAAAGTC